ACGACCTCGATTTTTACCACCATTACCGCTGACTGTTGATCGCCGTTGATTTTTTTTCGTCATAGACTTTTTATTTAATATTGTTTTTGACGCCGTTCCTGTGAATTATTTTTTTTCCGATCAACATAATATTACTATATGACACAAAATAATAATAATGTATTAATATCTAGCATCGTAATATTAAAATTACAAACTTCTAACAAAGTTTTTATTTAAATTTTTGGTCCCAAAATACAATTTTAAAAAATCTAAAAATCCATAATTTCTTCCTCTCAGTTTTTTCTTCGTGGAACCGCCACTGCGTCCCAAATTTCTTCCGAAAAAATAGGAAGAAGATGAATTAGGCGTGTGCGGAGTAATTTGGAAATGAGATAACCACTCTAGTACACGGTTTTTGGGGCTAACATCGGCCGTTAATTTTCATATTTTTTTTTTCTTAAAATTTTTTCGTCGTTGAACTCTGTTGACTTTCTCCTCTTTTGTTTTATTTTGACTTTTTAATGATATTATTTGCCTCACTGTTTATGAGCTTTGACTTTTTTTTACATTATATTGTTTATTTTGTTGTCTGCAACTTGAAGTTTGTTGATGTTGTCCCTTTAGACGGTTTTCATTTTCACTTTTGCAGTTCTGCATATTTTAATTTGCAGCTCGTCATTGCAAATTAATATTAGTTTTTTTTTTCTTCTTTCGGAATAACTATAAAAGGTTTCACATATTTTTTGGTTGTCTTCCTAAACTCGTATTAAAGTTAATGTGTGTGTGCCTTTTTTTTCTTTTGTATTTTGCCGTTTCATAATGTATTGCATATTGCAAGTAATTGTATTTTTTGCATCTCGTTGTTGCAACTTCGAACATTATATTTCTCTATAGGGATTCTATGATGCGTTTTGATATTGTAATATGCATTGATGCAAATTTGTGCATATTTTAATTGGAAGCTTTTTTGGTTAAACTCGTATTTACCGTCGTTGCAACTATAGGCCAGAAGAAAACAAACAAGAGATTCATTAGAGGTTGATGCTACTGACACGATCATGTTTCTAGAAGATCCCCGATTACGTTCGGAAGTTGTGAATTCAGTCGGACGTCGAGACTATGTCCGTTATGACATCACCCCAGTCATAAACAATTATGATAGATTGTAGTTTGTTCATTGACTATATTGCAACACTGCTTGTATCTATTGATTTGTATCTTACAATATTTTGTATTTAATGTACTGATTTATTCATAAATAAAAATTGTTTGTTGGTTTGTTATATCATCTTTTATTTCATATTTTATATTTTAAAAATATTTTATATTATTCGAGGAAGAATAAACTTGAACCTCTGATGTTTGAGCAAATTATTATTAGTTCCATATTGTGTTGTTGTGAAAAGACATTTGTAAAATAATATTTTTGCCATATGGTAGGTGATTTCGTATTATATTTATTTTGCTATTTATTTTTGCTGTTATAAATTGCAGTTTGTATGTTGTTAATTGTATTTTACAATTTTTTGTTGTAACTTGACACAAGTATTTTGCAATCTTGCTATTTATTTTTGTTGTTATAAAATAGAAAAAAAAAAAAAAAAAAAAAAAAAAAAAGGAGAGAGAGAGAGAGAGAGAGAGAGAGAGAGAGAGAGAGAGAGAGAGAGAGAGAGAGAGAGAGAGAGAGAGAGAGAGAGAGAGAGAGAGAGAGAGAGAGGGAGAGACGTGATTGAGGGGAGAGAGAGATGAGTTAAATGAGAGAAAAAAAAGGGAGGGGGAGACGTGAGGGAAAAAAGAGAGGAGTTAAATGGGAGAGTGAAATGTGGGATTCTATTCATATTTTCCATAACTAACTATCTTAATATAAATAATAATTAAGGTTATTACTGTCAATAGAAACATAATTTAATTTAATTTATATTACATTTATGGGTCAAATGACCTATAGCTATAATCAACTAACAAAATGACCCCCAATCATATAAGTTCCAAATAAGAGGGTTCCAGCTAATTATCCCAAAATAATGTGAGGTGTTTAGTTTCAATATTTTTTTTCAAATGAGGGAATTATGCCTCATTGACCCGTTAATAACTATATATATATATATATATATATAAAAATATGCGACTTGTATATTAATATTATGAAATAATTTAGGGGAAATGTGGGATAACTCCTAGTTTTGAAAATATATATGGATAGGTCCTATGGATTTTGATTTTCTAGTCATTAACCCTAATTTCAATCTTAATTTGACAGACCCCCTGGACAAATTGAAATACCTATTTTACCCTTTTAGTTACAATTCAAACCATAACCTACCTTTTCTCTTTCCACAAACTCTATCAGTCGTTTTTCTCATCTTTCTCCCTCTCTCTTTCTTCTTTCTCTCTCTAACTCACTTTCTCTCTCTAATTCTTCTTTCTCTCTCCTTCTCCCTCTCTCTTTCTTCTTTCTCTCTCTAACTCACTGTCTCTCTTTTCGGCACATAGCTCTCTGTTGCCACCTCTACTCCCCACCGCCTTGCGCCGCCCATCGTCATTGCTTCCTCCCAGCTCATTGCGCCGTCGACGTTGCTCTCCCATAGCCTTGTGCCACCGCCGCTGCTTCTCCCACAGCCTTGCGCCGCTGCTTCTCCCACAGCCTTGCGCCGCCGCCACTTTTTGCGTGCTCAACGCCAATCACCACCTTGATCACCTATCCAAATCGAATATACTCGGTGATGCCAAAAACATGATGGATGAGGGTTTGATTGTTTTAAATTCGTTTTAAATCTCTTTCTACTTCCGTTTGAAGAAATGGTTTCTACGTTATTGTTTTAGTTTTTGTTTTTTTTTTATGGCTCAAACCAGATTTATTATTTCTTATAAAAAAAACACAGATCTACTATATTTTTCAAGATCTGTGAACAATTAATATTAAAATCTTTTTCGTTGCATTAATTTGATTTTTATTTTGTTTGATTCTTATCTTGTTCATGTTTGTTATAATTCATATGTAATTTATTTTTTTGTATTTATTTGAAAATGATCCGAAATACCTCAAATGTAAGAGCTTTGTTTGTCTGTAGTAGAAACTTAATTAGTAGTGGTTACTTAGATGGGTGATTTGGTTCAGGCTACATATAACTATACGTGACTATAGAATTTGTAGTATACTAATATGCAGTCATATGTAGTTATGGCTACATATAACTAACTACACATGACTCATGACTATAGAATTTGTAGTATACTATAGTCATTTGTAGTTGATTTCGGTACGGTAAATTTATCAAGAAAAATAAAAAAACCAATGTTTTTTGTATTTTTTCGTGTAATAAAATGAATTGCTTGATGAATTCTTTTCCTTGAGTTGGGTGGCGGAGTAGAATGGTGGTGGGATATTTTTTTTTTTTTTTTTTGGTTTATATATATTTACTGCATTTATAAGATGAAAATTATCTAGTGTCACATGTAGTAACAAAAAGGAACATAACTATGTGACTATAGTTGACTATATAGTCACATGTAGTCATGTATAGTCACAACTCACATGTAGTAACAAGAAGGAACATAACTACATGTGACTATAGTTGACCATATGGATTTATAGTTCACTAAAGTAAATGTGTCAAAAGAAATGTTTTTTCATTGTTTTTGTATTTTAAAAAAAAAATCATGTAATTCGCTTGTTCCATTTTTGTTCTTCGTTTTCTTTAACTCGTATTTTTTTCTCACAGGTTTTGCTATTTGTATAACTTGCGGAGAATAATATGCGGAGAAGTGTCATGTGAAGTTACATTGATGCTACAGTACTCCAAACTTTATGTCACTATACATAAGTATAGATAATTGTAAATAACTATAGTCACATATGGTTATATGTTTGCCTAATGTTTTTTAATGTACAGTAATGTTTGTTTATGTTTGAAGAATATATCCATGTGATTGTGTTTTTTCATTTGTTGGTTAATTGATTTATAATATCAAGTTTCAAATTGTGAATTTTATTATTGTTATAGATCAATTTTGGGATATAAAGACAGTACATGACTATATAATTTGTATATTGTAGTCATGTATAGTATACTTTCAGTACAGTAAATTTATTAAAATTTAAATTAGTAAAAGAAATATATAAATTAAAAAATTGAAAAATTAAAAAATTAAAAAAAAAATATTTTCTGAGAAAAAAAATAAAAATTAAAAAATTAAAAATTAAAAATTAAAAAATTAAAAAATTAAAAAATTAAAAAAATAAAAAATTAAAAATAAAAATAAAATAAATAAAAAAAGGATATATATATAAAAAGTAATAATTAAAATAAAAATTTATTTTTTTATTAAAAAAATCTGTAAAAATGATAAACGCAGGGCCCAAAAATACTAAATGCAGTTGGCTTATAGTGCTAAGTACAGTTGGCGAAATTACTGTGTGCAGTTGCGCGAAAATTGCATTTAAGGACACAATAGTACTTTTGCCTTTTGCATTTAAGGTTACCTATCCCTATATATTTTCCATATAAGGGGTGTATATCAAATGGACTCAATAATTTAAGCACCATATAAATCTGAAGTCCGAAAAATATATGAGTGAATACCCATGTATCGATCTTGAAGAGGTGGGGAGAACATAGGATTCTCAAATGTTCGAGTGTCGATTTCACAAGAAACCTCGAATAAAAACCACAAAACATAAGAACCTCAATTGCAATTTCCATGTCAATCCGATCACAAAACGAAAAAGATCATAAAATCAACAATTGAACGTCGAGTTAAATTTCCATAGATGTCCACGAAAATATGAGAAAAACTTGGCGAATAACCGAAAAGTGACGGTGGTGTGCAAGAGCAGAAAACACCGGAGGGTATTTAGGAGTACATTTTAGGTAAGAGACTACTTAGGCATTGGAAAAATGAGGAGAAAGCAGAACTCATTTCATTTTCCAAAAATAGAATCTCACTATAGTCATAAACCAAAACCAGTACATGCATAAAAGAAGAAAATCTTCAATGTTAATAATTGCACCAAGATAAAGAAGAAGAAAAAAGATATGTAAGATAGAAACATGTGACTGAAAATTTACATCCATCCCTATGACTTTGTAAACCAACTCCACTTTACTAAAGCCTTGTCCTACTTTCTACCTTGTTTTTTCCTGGTTCAAATGTACCAACGGTAACTCCTTTATAACAAAAAATGTGCTAATGGTACTATAAGACAACAATTATCGACTTGAAACTGTTTCAGAAGAAAAAAAAAAAAACGAAAAGGGTTTCCCAATAACCGAAAAGTCTAACCCTCGAAAAAACCAACAGGAATCCTCTTGTCAATCTTTGCCCTGCAAGAAGGACAATCTTTCGTCCCATCCTTTTCAAGGAGTTCATTGCAATGCACACAAACAGTCAGATGCATACAAGGCAAGAAAAGCACAGAGATCTCTTCGCTCATACACAAAACACATTCCCGGTCCCGATTCCCATCTCCATCTCCAACAACCAATCTCTTGCCGATTTTCTGTAATGCGGACGCATTCTGATCGGACAAGCTATTACCGTACCCCACACTGAGAGCTGCTATTTTCAATTTGTCGGATTCCAGCCTCAATTTCGATATCATACTCTCGTGATTCTCGATTTTGGCTTGCAATGCCTGCTTGTTTTTTTCCGCTGTTTGGTTGATGCTGTCAGCTTGCATTTCTGTCCGATCATTCAACTCTTTATTTTTCCCCCTCAAGAAATCAAGTTCCGCGCTCGCTTTTAGCTTCTCCTTCTCCCCCTGCTTCAACAGAACCTGTAAAAACATATAACTTCTTTCAGCTTCTTACATTCCTGAGATAATTCATAAGCATAAAACTCGAAAATCCGCAATCCTAAAACCCTAAAAGAAAGCCCAAAAATCCGGAAACCCAAAACCCAAAAATCGAAACACAAATATAAATATATACCTTGATCTGGTTCTGTCTTTCTTTGGCCTTTCCTAAGCCCTCGCCCTGCTCAGCATTTTTACGTTTGAGACACGTTAGTTCCTCAACGAGTAAACCCTTCTCCGTTTCGCAGGATTGCAGTTTCTTGAGTATTTCTTGCTCCCTTCTCCGAGCTTCAAGCAAGTCATTAGCCGATGCCAAAGCCTTCAACCTAGCATCTTCCATCATCTTCTTCAACTCCAAATTCTCCTCTTCGAGGCGTCGAACACTAAGGTTAGCCAGTTCGATCTGTCCAAGTGTGTTGTCCAATGCATTCTGCATTTCAGACAGCCGTTTTGCCGTACCCTCCTCCAAAGTCTGCATCTCCTTGTTAAATTTCTCGAGCTCTTCTTTCTCTTGCTTCAGTAATTTCAACTCGCTTTTGTCCTTCGCCAGCCTTGTTGTAGCCTGCATAAGCTTCTCCTTCACCCAATCATCCCATCCTTTGATCTCTTTCTCGAGGGCTTCCTTATGTGACACTAGCTTCAGAACAACTTTGTCTTTGTCGTCCTTCGGAATGTACTTGTGCAGAATTTCATCAAATGGCATTGAAGCATAGTAATCTGTAATAGTAGTCGTAGTCGCAGTTTGCGGAGGACGAGGCTTATGAGGATAATCCTTAGGAGGATAAGGAGGAGGCGGCGGCTTTGTATTTGCAGGTAAAGCAAAAACAGGATCTTTATTAGCTGAAGTGGACTGTGACTTGGAAGAAGAAGAAGAAGAAGAAGATGAACCAGGTTGTGACTTATTAACTGATACTTTGGCCTTAAAAGCTCCCTTCGACAGTCGTCCTTTCGTGTTTTTCTCGAAATGAATCGCCTTCTGTCGAAGCATATCTCTCTTAGAATTAGCCGACATCCCTTTTCGACCGCCCCCCAATTTCTCGTCTGCTGCCACTACATTGGGTGGAGGCATTAAAAATTTCCCCTTTGCTACTTCAAGTGCAGGTGATCTTTCAGGCTGAGAACTTTGAGCAGGGGCTTTTAGATTATCCAACGTGTCGCAATCAGATTCGCTGGTGGTGGCAGAAGTTTCGGATTTACCCTCCTGTCGTAGTACTACACAGGCATTTGCGAGGTTCAAATCGTTTACCAAGAGCCACCACATTGCTTCAACAATACTCCAAGCCGGCCTAATCTCTAAAAGCACATGAACCATCTCGAGTAATGTGTAGTCCACGAGGCTCGGTAGTCCTTCAAACACGTATTTTTCGGTCTTGATAAAATTCTTTTTCAGCTTTAGTAACTCCGTAGCACCCTCTACAATGTTAGATACAACATCTTTACTACCATGGTAAAAGCTGCAATTTAAAACAGCCCACTCGGCAGTTTCTTTAGTGTGCCCATTTTCAACAAGTTTCTTCATCGCACTGCAGAAAATCGCAGACAAACCCTTCGTCAAAAGTTCTTCTAACCGACAAGCAATAGGATCATCCCAATCAGCTAGTTGATCTTCATGCTTCTCGATACTGCTGTTTTCTTGATCTTCTTCGGAACTTTCCATATTTGATTTCAACATTTTCAGGGCATTCTCAATTTCCTCGAGCACTTCGTGCCTAGCGAACTCTGCTGGAGACAGCCTTTGTACTTCGGCTGAAATGTCTTGTGATACATATTTCCTCTTATTTTTGCCGTTTTCGTTGGCCACAACAGCTGGCGCTCCTTCACTGCTATTACCATCCATATCTCTTAACTCTACAGCGGGCAATCAAATGGTTTCATAGTAAGTATAACAGACAACAGAAGTAGGAGTATTTATTTAACGAAGTCGGGAAGCAAAATACTAATTTGATCTGCGGTGATAAATAGGGCAAAAAGAATCATCATATCTAACCCTTTGACAATAAGGGATTGACGATACCATGGATGCGTAAGCATATTATCAAAAAAAATTTAATCAAATATCAAAACAGCACCCAAAAATCACGAATTTCAATATCCGGTTAGAACTTTCATAGGCATGCATAGTGAATAAACAGTCCAAATTCAATGAAAACATATTTCTTGTTTTGCAACAGAAATAGAAAAGCTTCTTAGAAAGGCACGTGACCACATTGGACCTTTGGGAGACTAATACGAATGTACGAACCTATGCGACGATTGTATGATAGACATAGACATAAGAAAAGGTACAAGTGTTGGAGATATAAATATTAAATGAGGTGGTCATTCAAACAAAAATAGTAACACAGACGAAAAGGAAAGAACTTCAGATATTGGATTTTTTTCATATGATACGACTTTCGACTTTCTATTTAGTTAGATTGCAATAATATAAGGACATACGTGTTGATTCTTAGAAGTATCCGAAATGCGGGTCCCACAGCATTAACGGTTGCAATTTCAGTTTAGGGCATTCCAAAAACTAATCCGTAACTATGCAACGGCCGTACATTTGTCATAAAAAGTACAGGCGAATCAGGAAAAATAGGAAACCGTTGCAGATATCGGAATTTTTGTTTTAAATGACACGACTTTCTATTTAGTTCGAAAAGCGAATACGTTTTACTTTATCTTTAATACTCAAGATCAACGACAAAAACACGACAAAATAGACATCAAAGCCAGCTATGGGGAAAATGTGTGCACACGAACATCGAACATCGAATCATAAAACATTCTATTCAATCCAAGAATCAAAAGAGTCCTTACTTAATCTATTCACAATCAATGAGAAACAAAACAAAAAAAACCGAAAAGCAGCAACAAGAATCATTCATAAGGAAATTCAAATGACTCAAGAACAAATGATACCTCTGAGATGCTTCGTCAAATTAAATCCTCCTCAGAAATATTCCTGCATTGAATTCATTCAAACAAATAAAAATTAGAACCAACAACCACAAATCCACAACCTGATTACAAATTCTACACCACCCCCAATCAACTAAACCTACCGATTGTTGAATTTTTATTATTTTTTTTTTTTTTACAGAAAATCAACACAAGTTTCCGAACAGGGAAAAGAAAGAAAAAAAGACCAAAAAAAAAAAAAAACAGATATCGAATCTTTCGGTAACATCAAATAAAATGAAAATCGAGAAAAACGAATAGCCATGGAAAAGGGGAACTCACAGAATGGTGTGAATTGGAGAAAAAAAAGAGAGTGTTTTTCCAAGGTTTTTATAAAGGACGACGCACACACAGAAACACACTCATTTCGTGTTCTGGAGTTTCTCTCTCTCACAAAACACGCAGTCTCTCTCTCTCTCTGTCGCTCGCTCCTACTCACTGTGTGCTGTGTGATACGCACGGCTGGGGGTATATATAGGGCCACTGACCCAAACGTGCAGTTAACCTCAACCCCTTTTTCCACCATGCTTTTTTTACCTTTTACCCACGGTTATTCAAATACAGAATCAAATTTTTGGCAGTGGGGATTTACTAAACCCCCATTTTTGCAGATTACGTGATTGAGCCCTAATTAATTCTTACACCCCTTTTTACATCAGCATTATCTGTCTCTCTCTCTCTCTCACTTTCTCTCTCTAACTCAGCCAGGTTTTATTATCAATGGATGAGTATGACTTCAAACGACTCGGGTCTGACTGTATGACTTTTTTATTTTTGTTTATCCAATTATTATTATTCTTAAATTTATTAAGTCGTACTTCACTTTCAATTGTACTACTTATTATTTTAATTTTTAAACCTAGTTTGTATTATTATATTTATTATTATTTAAATTTCAATTAGTCACTTAAATTAAGTTAAATTGACTATGATGTCCAAAAACTGATTTTCCATTTTTTCACAAAATGATAAAAACTTCTTCAAAAATTCATGAATTACAACTGCGAATATTTCGAAGCGTCTAGAATATTTAATAGCAATTAAAGATGAATTCGAAGAGTGACGAAGTGTCTGTCGTCTCGAAGGCATGATGCGTTCTTAATTGTACAAAGCTTACGTGAAGGCAATTATTTATACCTGGAGATATTTAGCAAGGAAATAATTATCTTGCGCGTTTACTGTTTTTTTTTCCCATATATATGGTGTGTCAGGGTTAACATATATATCCAATGATTATATTACGCGTCGAATATCAACGATAGTTTATTTTACTATATAATGACGAGATGAACGCCTTCTTTATTGCCAACCTCATTCTCGTTTACTTCTTGCAAATTAAAATATTTTACAACCACAACTTCATCTTCAACTTGTTTTTTTGGAGAATAAAATTTGTGTATATCTCCATGTCGTGAACGTATAGACTTTCCTATTCTTTGCTTTTTCTTTCTTTTATGATGTCGGGTCTCCAATTTTCTAAGCATCATGACATCGAGAAATAATCAAATTATAAAATTACAACAGATACAAGAAAATCGTGGACTATTTTTCTATGTTTTGACGTTCAGTGGATGTTTGGTCCATTAGCCATAGTTCAGACAAAAGATATAAGAAAACTGTGGACTAATTTACTATGTTTTAACGTTCAGTGGATGTTTGGTCCATTAGCCATAGTTCAGACAAAAGATATAAGAAAACTGTGGACTAATTTACTATGTTTTAACGTTCAGTGGATGTTTGGTCCATTAGCCATAGTTCAGACAAAAGATACAAGAAAACTGTGGACTAATTTACTATGTTTTAACGTTCAGTGGATGTTTGGTCCATTAGCCATAGTTCAGACAAAAGATACAAGAAAACTGTGGACTATCTTACTATGTTTTGACGTTCGGTGGATGTTTGGTGCATTAGCCATAGTTCAGAGGAGCAAAGTGTATCTTACTCTTACCAAAATGCTCAAATATACGTAATAATAAAAGAAAGATATGCGTCAATGTAATAAGAAATTTAGTTCAACACGTTAAAAATACATATAGTAGTTAATCTAACAATAACGACCCCTCGTCGCAGACCTCTTCTCTGATGGTCCAACACCCCGACCTTCACTCCTAGAGGCGATATGTCGAGGAGCATCCGACATCTACAAAGATACAAATAATTTTATATAAAATAGTTATATAAGTTTTAAAATATATACATATCACCATGCATGAACGTTGATTTTCATCTTCTGAACACTCATGTAGGGCGAGCATTAGGTCCGATGTCTTATTAGTTATTACACGATGGTCTTCACCCTGTCTGGATGAGTAGGACATACATTCATCCATGTTGAGCGATCGAGCACACGTGTCAACTTAAATGCTTGTCCCAACCTCTCATCCGATTTATTGGACGATAAAATTGGAAACAATGAATTTTAGCAATTTTTTTCCATAAATATAACCTAAAAAATCATCCTCTAAATTAAGCAGTCAAATGTTGAGTTTACATGGTAATTGAAAAGATTATGTTGTATTTTTGGAGAAAACTTTGAGAGGCAACCGAAATGATTTGAAAAGAGAGAAATCTTTATACCTGATTTAATTTCGACAATTCGTATTTGATTTCATGTATATATTATTTACTTTCTAAAATAAAAGAGAAAATTTGAGAAAGATATTCAATAAATAACCATTTGAGATTAAGAGGGTGTTTGGCTAAGCTTATAAGATGTTAAAAGGAGCTTATAAGATGTTTTAGAGCTTATAAGCTCTTCCAAAGTGTTTGGTAAATTTTTAGAAAAAGATCTTAATTTTTTTTTAAATAAACAGTTGGAGAGCAAATAAGATCTTTTTAAATAAGTACCTCTACCCCACCTTTTTATTTAATGAGTAAAAATAGGAAATAAGCCCATTATCCAAACACTCTAAAAATTAATCCTAAAAATAAGATGTAACAGCTTATCAGCTCTTAAAACATCTTATCAGACGTAAGAGCTTATGAGCTGTTTAAAATAAGTTTAGCCAAACACCCTCTAATTGAATGGTGGGAATGCCATTCCTCGCTATCCGAACCCCAATTCAACCGATTCCCTCACAATCTATCCTTTTCAATTCGTTGCACCTTATTATTTCAATCAAATTACTATTTATAAGATCAAATACATACATATATATATATATATATATATACATATTATTTAAAGGACATTTTAATCCACTATATTATAATAAAACTAATTATTTTCAACTTGGTTTGTATTATTATTATTATTATTATTATTATTATTATTATTATTTAAATTACAATTAGTCACTTAAATTAAGTTAAATTGATTTTGATGTCCGAAAACTGAATTTTCTTTTTCTCAGAATGAGTAAAAAATCTTCAAAAATTCATGAATTACTACTACGAATATTTTAGCGTCTGGAATAATTAATAACAAAGATGAATTTGAAATGTGGACGAAGTGTACGTCGTCTCGAAGGCATGATGCGTTCTTAATTGTACAAAGCTTATATAAAGGCGGATCATATATACTTGGAGATATTTAGCAAGGAAAACCATACCTTGTCCTCATATGTATGGTGTATCACGGTTAACATACGAAAGGGTTATCTTGCACGTTGATATAGTCGAATATCAACGATAGGTTATTTTACCATATAATGACTGATGATTGTCTCATGCCTCCATAAATTTATTATTTTTTTTCCAAATAATTAATATAACTACAAGTATCCAAACATTTAAAACAAATCAACAAACCAAATAACAGCATGGAAAAAAATATAAAAAATATCTAACGAGATGAACACCTTCTTTATTGATCGTTTACTTTTTCCAAATTAAAACTAATGATATACCTAATTGGGCCGACCCAATGGGCCCCAATTCATTTAACAATTAGGCCCAATACACGAAAATATTCGGGTCCATTACACGAAAGCCCAAGCACCTTCAAAATAAGGCTTGGGCCCAACAAAATAAGCCCAACTCAATCAACGGCATATAAATAGAAGTTTGGGTAAATTACACACACCCCCTTGACGTATGCTTAAATAACTGTAAGGTCCCCGTGGTATCGATAATTACACTCAGCCCCCTGAAACG